CACAGGTTCACCACACCGTACACCACCGGAGGGGTCACCGTGGTGGCCACACCTGGGACAGGGACACACTGGGGTCACCCTGGGGTCACCACAGGTTCACCACACCGTACACCACCGGAGGGGTCACCGTGGTGGCCACACCTGGGACAGGGACACACTGGGGTCACCCTGGGGTCACCACAGGTCCACCACACCGTACACCACCGGAGGGGTCACCGTGGTGGCCACACCTGGGACAGGGACACACTGGGGTCACCCTGGGGTCACCATGGGGTCATGGGGACATGAGAACACCTCGGGGACACCACAGGGTCACCCTGGGGACATGGGGACACTCTGGGGTCACCACAGGGACATGGGGACATGGGGACACTCTGGGGTCACCATGGGGTCATGAGGACACCCTGGGGTCACCATGGGGTCACCCTGGGGTCACCACAGGTCCACCACGCCGTACACCACCGGCGGGGTCACTGTGGTGGCCACGCCTGGGACAGGGACAGTCTGGGGTCACCATGGGGACACCACAGGGACACCGGGACACCCTGGGGTCACCACAGGGACATGGGGACACCCCAGGGACACCATGGGGTCACCCTGGGGTCACCACGCCGTACACCACCGGCGGGGTCACTGTGGTGGCCACACCTGGGACAGGGACAGCCTGGGGTCACCCTGGGGTCACGGGGACATGAGAACACCCCGGGGACACCACAGGGTCACCCTGGGGACATGGGGACACCCTGGGGACACCACAGGGACATGGGGACATCCTGGGGACACCCTGGGGTCACCACAGGGACATGAGGACATGGGGACACACTGGGGTCACCCTGGGGACACCGGGACACCCCGGGGTCACCACAGGGACATGGGGACATGGGGACACCCTGGGGTCACCACAGGGACACCGGGACACCCTGGGGTCACCACAGGGACATGGGGACACCCTGGGGTCACCCTGGGGTCACCCTGGGGTCACCACACCGTACACCACCGGAGGGGTCACCGTGGTGGCCACGCCTGGGACAGGGGGACATCCTGGGGTCACCCTGGGGACACCCTGGGGTCACCACGGGGTCACGGGGACACCCCGGGGACACCCTGGGGTCACTCTGGGGACATCTCGGGGACACAAAGTCCTGGGGGGTCAAGGTTGGGGTCACCCTGTTTTGGGGAGCACATTGTGGGGTCCTGTTCGGGGTCCCCATTTCAAGGTCCCCTTTCTGGAGTCCCATTTTAGGGTCCCCCTTTTGGGGTCCCCCTTTTGTGTCCCCCTTTTGGGGTCCCTGTTTTGGAGTCCCCATTTTGGGGTCTCCATTTTAGGGTCTCCATTTTAGGGCACAGGTTTTGAGGTCCCCATTTTAGGATCCCCCTTTTGGGGTCCCCCTTTTGGGGTCCCTGTTTTGGAGTCCCCATTTTGGGGTCTCCATTTTGGGGTCTCCATTTTAGGGCACAGGTTTCGAGGTCCCCCTTTTAGGATCCCCCTTTTGGGCTCCTCATTTCGGAAGGCCCATGTTGGGGGGGTCCTGTTTTGGGGTCCCCATTTCAGGGTCTCCACTTTGGGGTCCCCACTTTGAGGTCCCCGTTTCGAGGTCCAGGTTTTGGGGTCCCTCTTTCAGGGCACAGGTTTTGGGGTCTCCATTTCACAGTCCCCCTTTTGGGGGGCAGTTTTGGGGTCCCCCCTTTGGGGTGCAGTTTTGGGGTCTCCCGTTTTGGGGTGCAGTTCTGGGGTCCCCCTTTTGGGGTGCAGTTTTTGGGGTCCCCCATTTTGGGGTCCCCCCTTTGGGGTGCAGTTCTGGGGTCCCCCCTTTTGGGGTGCAGGTTTTGGGTCCCCCCTTTAGGGTCTCCCGTTTTGGGGTTCCCCTTTTGGGGTCCCCCTTTGGGGTGCAGGTTTTGAGGTCCCCCCTTTTGGGGTCCCCCTTTTGGGGTGCAGTTTTGAGGTCCCCCCTTTTGGGGTGCAGTTCTGGGGTCCCCCTTTTGGGGTTCCCCTTTTGGGGTCCCCCTTTTGGGGTGCAGTTTTTGGGTCCCCCCTTTTGGGGTGCAGTTTTGGGGTCTCCCGTTTTGGGGTGCAGTTCTGGGGTCCCCCTTTTGGGGTGCAGGTTTTGGGTCCCCCCTTTAGGGTCTCCCGTTTTGGGGTTCCCCTTTTGGGGTCCCCCCTTTGGGGTGCAGTTCTGGGGTCCCCCCTTTTGGGGTGCAGGTTTTGGGTCCCCCCTTTAGGGTCTCCCGTTTTGGGGTTCCCCTTTTGGGGTCCCCCCTTTGGGGTGCAGTTNGGGACACCACAGGGACACCACGTTGTCCCTGAGCGCCCGGGCACTGAGCACGACCCCGTGGTTGAAGTCATCCGTGGCACTGGGGACACAGGGACACCACAGGGACATGGGGACACCACAGGGACAGGGACACCACGTTGTCCCTGAGCGCCCGGGCACTGAGCACGACCCTGTGGTTGAAGTCATCTGTGGCACTGGGGACATGGGAACACCACAGGGACATGGGGACACCACAGGGACACCCTGTCACCCCCATGGGGACACCACAGGGACATGGGGACACCACAGGGACATGGGGACACCACAGGGACAGGGACACCACAGGGACACAGGGACACCCTGACAGTTCCATGGGGACACCACAGGCACAGGAACCCCACAGGGACACCCTGTCATCCCCATGGGGACACCACAGGGACACCACGCTGTGCCTCAGGGCCCGGGCACTGAGCACGACCCCGTGGTTGAAGTCATCCGTGGCACTGGGGACACGGGGACACCCTGACATCCCCATGGGGACACCACAGGCACAGGGACACCCTGTCACCTCTGTGGGGACACCACAGGGACATGGGGACACCACAGGGACACCACGTTGTCCCTCAGGGCCCGGGCACTCAGCAGGTCCAGCCCTTGTTGACCTCCATGACCCCACAATGACCCCATATCCCCCCAGTGTCCCCAGCACTGGTCACTCACTGCGGTCGCAGCACTGTCCGGCCCTCGCTGACCCCAATGACCCCTCAATGACCCCAGTGTCCCCATCACCGGTCACTCACTGCGGCCACAGTGCTGTCCAGCCCTCATTGACCCCAATGACCCCTCAATGTCCCCAATCCCCTCAACGTCCCCCCAGTGTCCCCATCACCGGTCACTCACTGCGGCCGCAGCGCCGTCCGGCCCTCATTGACCCCAATGACACCCCAATGACCCCCCAATGTCCCCAATGACCCCCCTCATGACCCCAATGACACCCCAATGTCCTCATGACCCCCCAATGTCCCCAATGACCCCCCTCATGACCCCCATGACTCAAATGACCCCTCAATGTCCCCCCAGTGTCCCCATCACCACTCACTCACTGCGGCCGCAGCGCCGTCTGGCCCTCATTGACCCCAATGACCCCTCAATGACCCCAATGACCCCAATGACCCCCCAAT